GGGCTCAAGGCGTTATTTCTTTTAAGCGAGGACAACTCAGGACAGGGTCATCACAGGATCAGGGCACGACCACTCCCTCTACGCCGACCTGCCCGTGCTGCGTTCACCTCGCAGCCGACTGGCCGACGAGACACAAGATCACGGGCTTTGGTGTAGGGTTAGACAGACGAGTGTTCAAACCAGAGACGGTCAGAAGGATGAATTAGTCCTGCAAAGACAGTAAAAGTCAGTTAGATTTCTAGAGGAAAGTGCCCTTTCAACCTTCAACAGGTGTTGAGAGCCCCTAACAAGACAGGGATGGAAAGACAGCGTTACGGCTCAGTACCTTTCCCGCACCTCGGTTTCCGTGGGAGGTCAAGGGCACCAGTACTATCTGGGAGTAGTAATGCCATCGTTGTACCTGTGACTCATTCTTTGCTGTTCCCCAAGTACTTTCAAAATCCGTCATCTCATTTGACCCTCATGCTGTCCTGCCAGGTGATCACACGGTCATTTATTTGTTCATTTAACGGTCGTCGGATTCCTTCTCGTGGCCCCGCGCCCTGGGGGACTAGCAGGGCTCCAAGACTGACGCTCATTTCCTAGAGGAGCAGACAGAGGTCTGGACAGTGGGAAGGCGGTCCGTCCCACATTCCACAGCCAGTGGGGACCCAGCCGGGCCGAGACCAAATTGCTTTCAGACCAGACTGCTGCAGCCGCCTCTGTCCCCACCCACCCACCACCTCACACCCTGTCCTCAGCCAACCACCAAAACCTCCAGCCCTTTGATCACCAGGCCTGCCCCTTCTGCTCTCTGGAGACCGCAACACCAGGATGACATCGATGTCATTCGATTACTTGCGCATGAATTTGCATTATGACAAGCCATGAAAAAAACGTGTCCATCACGACAGGGGAAAAGCAGCAAACCTGAGTGAGTGCTCACCAGGGAAGTCCCCAGGAGTGGGTGTGTGCGGTGCGGCCAGCCCCGCCTGAAGGGGGTGCTCAGTGAGTCCTGGGTCCGGGCGGTGTTTCTGCCACTGTTATTACTAGTGTGACGGGTGCTCTGTGTCTCTCCATGTAACCCATGGGTGGGCCCCCACTCCTCTTGCCCTCAGTAAGCAAGCTGACGGAAGCCCACGGCAGGCACCCTGGTTACTCGCCCCGAAGGGGTCACCCAGGAATGCCCAGCCCCTTCTGCTCGCGCCCGGGGAGCAGCCATGCTTACTAAACCCCAGTCCTGAGCGTGTGAGCTCAGCCTGTGGTAACCCCAAACCTTACCCATCACATTCACTGGTAAAAAGTGAGGTGGGCGAGACATGCAAATTTGGTTCTGTGAAAATTGTTAAATACTTCAGGACAATTCAGGAAGGAATTGCTAACCATCCTTGCTACTGAGGTTGAGGAGCACGAGACAACATCAAGATCTGAGGGGATGAAACTCTTGGAGGACCCTGCATTTACACTGCTTGGCCACGGCTCAGTTCCTGTTCCGCTTGAGAAAAAAACAAAACAAAAAAAAAGCAGACATTGTAGGCAAAGCATTAAAGGTGTAATAGGTGTAGTCAGTAGACCGTTTCTCAGGCCTCCGTTCAACATCAGAAACTTGTCGTTGAGTTTTATGGCAAGTGACAGGTGGCTGGAACATCAGGGATACATACGATAGGATCTGTGTTGGAAGGGCACGGGTGGATAGCCTCTGCACCTCGGCGTTCCCCAGAATGGCTCTTTATTGGCGGGGACAATCAGGTTGGCAGGCACTTCTGCGACATTGAAACGCGTCGGCATGGTGAGATGTTACCTCCGAAAGGAGTGAGGCTAAGTTAAAGCATCAGCGGGGGAAACCCAGAGCGTCGCTCCTGAGAGCTGCCCGCCACTCAGGACAGGCCACAGACCTCCTGGAGCCCAGTGAAAACTGAGAACGGCAGGCCCCTTGTGCAGGGTTAGTAAGAGTTTCCGGAGGAGCCCAGCAGCACATTAGAGCAGCTGTGGGGCCCTTCCAGCGCAAGGCCCTAGGTGCCTACTCAGCGCGCTCGCCCACGAGGGTGGCTCTGCCGCCACTGACGGGTACTAGCAGCAAATCAGAGCGTTGAAAAGAAGTCTGGTCTGTACTGGTTCCACTGCTCTCATAAACGTCCGCGTGGATGGAATGGACTTGGACTTGATCAGATTATTTGAGAAGCTCATACTCTTTCTAGGTAGATTTTCTTTACGTCCTGATCATCAGGAATTTGGAGGCCTTGTTGTTATCCTTCCCCCCCATGCCCCACCCGAGAATAATATTCTCGATCCAACCTGTGGATCAAAGGATTCTGAAATGTTCAAATACATCTCTTCGGCAAAGGGTTGAGTTCCACCTCGGGGTGGGGGGAGAAAACAAGAGCATAGACCCTGTAGGGTGGATCAAAGATATTGCTTGCCAGGAGGCGGTGGCACGGCATGACATCCTTAAGGTGAAAACTGTGACACAGAATCTCAATATGTAAGACGATGGCAGTAAAACACGGGTTTCTACCTGAGCTCAGACACACGGAAGGTGCTGGCGAGGAGGAAGGCCAGCCAGCAGCAGTGGGTTCGCGGTGATGACCTGTTGGAGAGTCAAATTCCAAGTGAGGGGGAACTCACGGGCAGCGTGACGTAGACAGATAAATCTCAGGAGGAAGAGGACGAAGAAGAGATGAGGTTAACAAAATGCAGGTCGACCACACAGTGGCTGGGGTCAGAGAACAACAGAACCAGCGGTCAAGGACGTCGTAATAATGCAAAACTAGAGGAACTGAGCTGTGAAATACTCATGTCTAAGCAACTGAACGTGACCGGTTTTATTACATAAACATGGTAGATTTTAAATGAGACTGGCATGTCTAGGGCACATGCGTGATTTGGGTTTCTCACTCTGACGTTTTCTGTTAACTCACTAGTGATCTCTGAACCAGGGGGGCTTCTGTGTTACCTACTCCGTCTGCTTCTGCTACGGAAGCCCCTGTCACAGTCCTGGGCAGGAGTTGCTGAGCTACTTGAGAAGTCATTGACAAGTTCCTATCTTCACCAGCTTTTTAAGTTTGAAACGTATATATAACGTACTAGAATAGGGCCATGTGTATTGGGTGATCATAGCTTCCGGGGCCTTGATTCACATAACCACGGCTCCTCAACTCCCAGTTTCTATTTCTTTAGTGTGGAAAGAGAAGTTACAGGCATTTGCAGAACAAACCAGCGTGCAAAGTTCTTCTGGGATTTTACTGTTTCTTGGCCGTGTTTTCTTTTTTTGACGGTTGCCCGGCCCACACCGCCACCCCAGCTCAGCCGTTTGTGGATGTATTCTTTGGTTCTGTGTTGAGCGATTCACTTTTCACTGGATCTCCTCATGAGTTTGGCTGGTGAAAACATCCTTGAGAACTAACGTGGTAACTGGTGGGAGCAGAAAGGCCCAGATATGCTAGAGCGCAGACCCCCCCGCCCCCACCCCGGCTTCGAGGTCAGCATGTGTTAGGAGCCCGGTCGGTCTGCTGTAGAGGGAATGGGGCGCGTGGTTCCACCTGGCTAGTTCCAAATACTAGCTGGCCTCCCCCATGTGGCTTGGGGCGTTCTTAGGCAAATAAATCCCCCCACTACCCCTCTTGGAATACACCCCCTACAACTGCCTCAGGAAGAAATAGCGTGAGTCACACCCCTTCCCGTGTGACTTTCTGTTGGTTGCCCGCCTTTGAAATCCCTGCGTTTTCCCGGGCCACTCTGCCTCCGTCCCAGCTTCTCTGCAGGTAGTCCCGTGGGTGAAGCAAAGGCTCCCCAGAGCAATATTCTGTATGCCGTCCGTATTTTAGACCATCCAGAACATGTCTTCCAAATCTGGACAGGACATCTTCGTGTGGAGTGGCAACAGGCACAGTTTTATTTGTGTAAATTATTACTGAGCTCTGTCACAACAGAGCAGACCAGAGATGAGGGCATTCGTGACCGGGAACCACACTGGTGTCCATCCTCCTCCCCCCACCCCCCCAAGCCAGACGAAGGTTCTGTTTGTGAGGCTGAGTGTTGCGGGCACTTCTGCATCTGCTTGGATTGTGCCTCTATTTCCAGTTCTCAGGTGGGACGGTTCTCCAGCATCAGTCTATAAGAGAGAAGACTAATGAGAGGTAGCAGGTTTCCTAGCATTTGTTGAACTTCCTGTTTGTTTTCCAATGAATGAAATACTGGCAAAGTCCAGTCACCCACGAAGAAGTGATGATAGAAACCCCTAGAGACAGAACACTCCTCAGGGTTCAGAAGGAAAGAGTGATTTATAGGATTGATTTTTTTTTTCTATTTTAGTCTTCTGAATCCCTCCCCATCTCCCACCCCCCCCCCTTTCCAGGACTTAAAAAAAAAAAGTAATGTTAAGGGAAGAAAATTGGTTAACCTTTGCTAAACACTGAGCCCAGGTGGCCCCCCGCCAGGGCTGAGCTTTTAGGAACCTCCTGGGAAGGTGGGAGGCACAAAGGCACTCAGGGTGGCAGAGGCCTTAGATGTGAGGTGGGTCTGAGAGGGGGCTGGGCGAGGTGGGCTGCAGGGTCCTGCAGACAGGCCACGCCCTTCCTGCCAGCCTTCAGTCCCCGTCCTGATACACAGGACCACAGCTGGGCCACTGCTGTCCTGCCCGTGGGTCACCCATGGGCGCACGCTTGGAAAGTCTTCTCTGTGACTCTACAGTCCCGGGGGCTCCCCCAGCACCCCCAGAGTCCCATGCGGCCAAGGACAAAGTCTGATCGGGCCCATCACCGGGCTGGTCTCCTCCTGTCTTCTCCCCTCTCTTCCCTCTGGTTCTCCTGTCTTCTCTCTCCCACCCTTCTTCCGAGCCAGGCCTCGGAAGAGAACCGAGGGAAGAGCCCCTGGGTGTGCCCGACTCCTTTAGGAGACGTGGGGACGAAGGGGGGCCGCCGTCGCCCCTCCGGCCCAGGGGAAACTTCTGTCTCACGAGACCCAGCTCTCACCAGGAACGGGTGACTCACCTTCCGTGTGTTCTCTCTTCCTCTCCCCTGCAGGGAATGTGACTGGAAACAGTAACTCCACGTTTATTTCCAGCGGGCAGGTGATGAATTTCAAGGGCGACATCATCGTGGTCTACGTCAGCCAGAACTCCCAGGAGGGCCCGGCGGGGTCCGGCGGCGGCGCGGGGGAGCCGGTGGGCCACCCGGTGCAGGAGGAGAGCCCGCCCAGCTGTGACTCCTTCGCCGGGCTCGGGCCCCGCTTCCCGGACGCCTGCGGCGGCAGCGTGCCGGAGCCCGACAAGGCCTCGCGGCCGGTGCAGGAGCAGGGCGAGGCCGAGGCCTGTGCGCCCGGGGCGCAGCGCTGAGCGGCCCTCGGACCCAGGACGCCACCGGACCGGCCGCGACTTCCCGGCCATCAGCGCACCGTCCACGCCCTTACGCGCCCCGGGGGGCACGTACCCACCTGGCGGCGAGGCCACGTGGGCCGAGAGCGCCTGCGCCTGGACCGGGCCCAGATCAGCGCCCGCACGCTGCTCCTCCATTCGGTACATCTGCCTCTAATGCCGGACACGCTCCGCCTGCCGAGCTCTGTAGACATCAGGGGCTTTTTAAAAACGTGACTGTGTCGGCACCCCTCTGACACCCAGTCACATACCAACCAATGCCTCAGGTACACGCCGTTCCTCCCCCCCACTTGGCCCCCTTGTACGGGGGCCCCCTTGTGCGGGTTGCTCCCCCCTTGGCCCCCTTATACGGTTTTCCTCCCTCCCTCCCACCTGCCATGGCCGGCTCCCCAGTGGTCGTCTCTCCCCGGCCTCTGGGTGTAGGGCGGTCCTGTTCTCTCCGGGGCTGTGTTCTTTCCCTCCTGTGTGTGTGTTCCCCTTTCTCTGCTAACATTTCTGTGATCTCCCTCTACACATGTGCACGCGTGCACACACACACACACACACACACACACTTTTTTACCGTTTAAGGGTTTTCCGTGAATTCTCCCAAGGGCAATGGTTTTTACCGATCACCTGTGGCGCCCCCTTCTCACGAGCAGGTGCCCGTGTTTAGGTGATCGCTGGGGGGTGGAGGGGGTTGGTCTGTAAGCACTTGGGGGTGGTGGGGTGGGGAAGGCTAGAAATGTGACGCCTGCAGGGAGGCTCAGGGGACAAGGGGACAGACTTTCAGGGTGTGAGAACATTTCTGTGTTCCCATTTTTCTACAAGAAGGAAAGAGGGAAACCCCGTCTCTCCCTCCGAAAGGGTTTTTACGTCGTTGTGCGTCGGGCTGAACTTAGGGGCAGCGCGTGTCCTCCTCCCTTGCACTGCCCCCTGGTGGTCATCCCCGGGGTGAACTGGTTTCCCCTCCAGCAGACGCAGTCCGGTTCTCTGGTAAAGAAATCGCTACAAACGCTCTTGGCTGCCGCGTGTCGTTCTTATTCCCGATGTCTCTGGGGTAAAGGTGCGGGCAAATGAACAGGGCTCAGGGGCAGCCGGCACACCGAGTGAAGAGGAGGAGCCCGGGAAGTTCAAGAAACAAAGAACAAAGTTGAATCATTAACATGCATTTTCTCTCTCCGCATAAGAGTGGCCTAAATGTGTTGAGGCCATAGGCCCTGTTTTCCTCCGAAACCGTCATGCTCCTGTAACTCAGCCTCGTAGAAGTAGAAAATGTTCCTCTGTCTTCCAGTGCATTTAAGTTAAAAACCAAATCCTCCTGCTGGGGACTGAAGGAAAATCCATCACCGGAGTGCTTTTCTCGTAGCACCAGGCCTCCTATGAGGGAGCAGACAGGGCGAGTCAGGCTGGAAGGCATTAGCTGGGTCCTTCCATCTGCTGTAGTTGGCGAGCCTCTGCTCTCCTCAAACACTAGAGAAAAAGTTAAAATCCCTAAAATTAATTTTTGCAGGCCTGGTAGGTTTGAAGGGTGCTTACGATGACCACTGTCCCCCCTCTAATGGCCACAGATGCCCAACTGAAGGGAGTGGCCATTGACCCCTGGTTTCTCCCGACTGGTTGCAGTGCTCCTGGACACGCTGCAACGTAGCGGTCAGTCACCGTGTTTGAACGGAGACGCAGAGGGCGGCTTTATAATTTATGGGGGTCCTTAGCCGACATAAAAAAAAATCTCCAGCAATAACAGCATTGCCAGGGTGATCAGCCGGTGAGAATTTACTGTCTGCTCGGCCCTTGTTGCTAACATTTATGCAAAGAGATGTTATAAAAAATGGGAGAAGCCACCATACCTTTTGAGGTGGAACATACAAAACAGACTGGCATTCATGCAGTAGAACGCTGAGCCAAAAAACCCAGTTTCTACGGGGGCCGTCGTCATCTCGTGGACTTGACTTTGCATTTCTGTGCTTCCATTTTCCTTCCTATGAAAAGGCACCGATGGTCATTTTGGGCACCGTCCCTGCCCAATGATAAATAAAGGATGAGCTCCTTCCAAAGAGGGAGCCCAACAAATAATCTACGTCCAGAAAAAGGTTGTAGTCTTACTCTTCCCCATGCCGACCCTACTCATTCTGTACAGACCCAAAGACAACGAATGACAGGACACACGGAGCCATCGCGGGTCTGGGTACGTAGGCTACAGAGACGCGTGTGGCCAGTGGAAACAACAACAGGAAGACAATGGTGAGAACTCATTTGAGGGGATGCGATCAACAAGCTACTGAATGCATATTTGACCATAAAAGGCTGTGTTTCATGGTTTGCTTATGGAGGGCCCTTTGTAAAACAGCGACCTGTCTTGTGCCTGGTCTCTGTGGTGTGCGGTGGTGTCAAGTGTCGGTTGCATTGCATCTCATTGGTGGAGCCCCGGACATTGGTGGGGACGGAACATGACTTGCTTGCATCGATGATATATCTGCTGTTGATCTCATAGGAAATTTTTTTTAAAAACACAGAGTTGAAAGGGAAATGGAGTCCAATAGTTCCTACCGATGTTTAAGTCAACCACCAGAAGAAGGAAACGCCAATTTTTTTCTCTACTTGTTAGTGCAAAGAGCAATTCGAATGTGCTGTACTAGACCCTGCTTATACGGTGCGGGAGAAAGGGCTCTTGCTGTGAAATAAACCATCCAACACATAGTGGCTTAAAATGCTGCTGTTTATTTACTTCGCAAGTCTGGATTGGCTCGGCTTGGTCGGCTCCTCAGACCCGGGTCAGCCCAGTGGGCTTGCTCCCCCGTGCAGACTGCAGGCTGGCTGGGGGCCAGCCGGGCCAGACTGGGTCCTCTCCACATGGACCTTCGTCCTCCCGGCAGACTGGCCTGGCCTGGCCTTGCACAGATCGTGGTGGCAGGGTGCCAAGAGAGCAGGCAAAACGTGCCAGGGTGTTGAGGCCTAGGCTCAAGCTGACACCGTCCCTCTGCCACATTTTCTGGGCCAAAGTAAGACCCAAGGGCAGCCCAGATTCAAGGGGTGGGGAGACAGAGCCCCACCTCTTTAGACAGAGGGGAAGGGAGGGAGGAAGAGAGGCAGAGAAACATCGATGTGAGAGAGAAACATCGATCAGCTGCCTCTTGCGCACCCTCCAACTGAGGACCGAACCCACAACCTAGGCATCTGCCCCAACCAGGAATCGACCTGATGACCCTGCGCTTTGTGGGAAGACACCCAACCCACTGAGCCACACTGGTCAGGGCCAGAGCCGCCCCACCTTGGTGGGAAAAGTTGCACAGTGCCATTGGGAGAGAGGGTGGATACAGGAGGGGAAGAGTGGGGTCCTTCTGGCCACCCGTCTAGCACTGGTGCATGGTGTAGAAGAAAATGGTGCAGGGAAGTGGTGTGCCCCGGGAGGGGCCAGAGGGGCAGAGGGGCCTCCACTAAGCACCCCCTTCCCTGGTGATGCAGAGCACAAGGGGTTCCAGCAACCGAGAGGCACCACGTTCATGTCTAAGCATTGAAATTCCTCCCAAAGCCAAGTACATATGGTTGGGGAGCCGGCTGCACTGCACCATGGTGCCCCTGGTAATCACTGAAAAGCGCCTGTATTTGTAAAATCGAGGAGATTGATGAGATACTTTGGGTAGAGGAACCTGTCACATAAATGAAGGATGTCGTTCTACTGTTCATGCTGATTCAACAGCCAAACCCCATGTGGTTAGGTGCTGGGCAAAAGGGTGAGCTCGGGCAAAGGCGCTGTCTTTGGTGGAAGAGGCGGACTTTGCAAAGTCTCAGCACCGGTCTCCCCTTGGCCGTCCGTTCTGCAGAGCTATGGGAACAAGTCGCACAAACCCCTGCTGGAGCAGGACAAAGCATTCAAAGCCCTACCATTCGATTGGTGAGTTGCTGTTTTTACTGATTGTGCTTTTGATGCCTGGATCCTGAGCATCCCTGAGAAAGGAGACAAAGATAGATGAGCGTCCTTGGCAGCCTGGGGATGTCCCGGAGAATTGAGAAAGACTGTGGGTGTTGCTCTGCTCCAGGGCACCGGATGAGACTGCTTCCGAGGGCTTAGCTGTGGAATTCCTGCCCCCGCAAGGCTGCGCTCTGAGCTGACTACCTTGCAACTACTAAAGCCTTGCCAAAAAGAGGCGGGCACCTGGACTTGAGCTCGGGTGGGGCCAGCAGCAGGCACAAGCATGCCAGGTGGTGTCCCTGAAGACAGGCCCACAGGTGTCAGGGGCCACAGGTGCAGGAAACCCTGGACCAACATTCCCACGTCAGTATCCCTGATGTCTCTCTCCCAAAAGTCTGGGAAGGATAATATATTGGTCACCAGCTTAGAAAAAGTGGCATTAGTGGCCCAAGCCCTTTTTGGTGGGGCCTGGGGCCCAGTGAAAGCCTTCACTGTGACGCAGGCTCTTGATTTCTCACGGGCAGACGTAGCCCTGGAAACAAGGCTACGTGGCCGGAAAAGTCACGAGGAAAACCACATTCCCATGATGAGACTCTCCTGCTGCCTTAAATTAGGCAGAGGCAGTAAAACATCTTATCCTAGAATGGAAAAGAAAATTCGTATTTACTGGCTTTTATGGCCCTTTTATTTCAATGGCACAGTCACAATGAAAGGAAAGCACATAATTAAAGCTCTTAAAAGAGCTTTTTCTAAACACTGTATCAGTGGAAAAATACACATAATTTCTTTCATCAGGTTTATTAAGTTTCTGATTCATATCTAGTAAGAGTCGGCCTTTTGGGGTATGCAGTTTTACTGTGAGTTATAACACAGATATGTTTGTTGTTGTGTGACCACCACCACCATTGAGATCAGGCTGTTTTCAGCACCCCCGATTTCCCCTGTTTTGTTTTGTAGTCAGTCCCCTTCCCGCTCTGCCCAGCCACTGGCAACAGCTATCTGTTCTCCATCCTCATTACAGTTTTGCCTTTTCCAAAACATTGTGTGAATGGAATCGTTCAGTTGGTAGCCATTTGAGTTCAGCTTCTCCCAGCACAATGCCCTGGAGATCCATGCAAGCTGTTGGGAAATCAGGAGTTCGCTCCTTTTTACTGCTGCATAGTATTCCACGGTGAGCATGTTTATGGGCTCACCAACAGTTGGATGCTATCCAGCTTGGGTAATTACAAATAAAACTGCTCTGAAAACTTGTGTGGGCATGTGTTTTCATTTCTCTTAAAAATGAAATTGTGGGGACATATGGTAAATATGTAACTCTAAGAGAAACCACAAAATTGTTTTCCAAAGTGACTGTACCATTTTGCATTCCCATCTGCAATGAATAAGAACTCCAGCCATTCCATATCCTTGCTAGCATTTGGTATTGTCAACTGTGTAATTTTAGCCATTCTAACAGATGCATAGTATCTCATTTTAATATGCAGTGCATGACTGAGCATCTTTTTATATGCTCATTTGGCCATCTGTATCTCTTATTTGGTGAACTGTGTGTTCAAATCCTTTGCCCCTTTTTTAATTGGTGGTTTACTTTTTATTACATTTTGAGAGTTCCTTATATGTTCTGGATATGAAAATGTATAGGTTTTTAGAGTCTTTCTATTTCAATGATAAAGAAGCCATAGGAAAATAACGTATTTAAAGCTTCTGGAGCATTCTGGAAGTATTTACCACTATCACTGAAAAATTAAGATACAAATGTTCATTCTTC